GCTAACAAGCCTGATCCGTACAAGGATTTTGTTGTGTTTCAAGAATTTCTCAAGTTTGAAGGATGTTCAAGAGAGTCTCAAGAATCAGAACTTGATTCTTATCTCAAGGAACCAGTTATGGAATGGAACAAAGACTTCAAAGTAGTGGAAAGAAGAGAGCCAAAAGTATCCAATCCTCTCTCGAGTAGCTCGTGACATTCTCTCCATACCGTTCTCGCGTGCAACTTCGTACGATGTTTATGTTCCGGACAAAAGAGAGCCTCCTGAGTTTGTTCTTTCCATGGATCCTAAAGTTGCTAACGCCATGATGTGCAGCAAAAGCTGGTTACGACTTTGATGATTATGGCTAAAGTGGTAAGAACTTCCTATCTTTCTTTTTTTTTTTTAACTAGTAAGAACTTTAAATGCTTTTGTGGCCTTCATGAAACTCGGTAACTCTGGTTTTCGGTTTAGTACGTTTGGTTATCATTTCTCTATCAGTATGAGTAACATTTTCTTTTTTGGAGTGTTATTTTTGTTAAACATGATGCCTAAATGCTAAGTCTTCATTTGCTTTATGTTGTATATTCTCTCTCGAAGCTACAAGTCTCTCTGTTAAATTAAAAGTTTCCGTAAATAAAACTTAAGATCATTCGAATCATAAATAGAAGTATGGCTAGATAGTAGTCACTCATACAGAAAATTTGTTTGTTTACTGATGTTGTAAAATAGTAGTATAAAATTACATTGGAACGTTTAAATTATTTTTTACAACTCTCTCTTGAAAGCTCCGTTAAAGTGATCATATCCGTTAAAAAGCATAAATTTTGTTAGTAGTGTATTAAAATGGAACAATAATTTTATCTATGCATTTTCCAGAAAGATCTAAAAAGTTCATGTATTCTTTAGAATTGTAAATAGTTGATGTATTTTTTGAGGAATTTTTCCAAAAGAATATTGTCCACAAATTTGCAGGAGGACGACACACGTATATAACTTACATCTTTAAAATTATTTTTCTTAATTCTTTAAAATTTTTAGTTTTATTTGTTCAAAAATTATGTAATCAAGTGTACATAGGTAAAGAACCATATAGCACTGGCGGTGATTTGGTAAAGAGGCCAAGTGGTTTGAAAGGTTGCACTCATGTTTCCCACGTGTACCTCACTATTGGGCCAAGTATTAATCTTTGTCTTAATATTTAACAACCATCTTAATTTGGTTAAAAGTTTAAAACAGATTAGTGTAGACACAAGAGTTTCATGCATTTAAAAACGCCTAAACATAGATATTTACAATAACATTTTCCTTTCCCATAAATGTATAAAAACACTTAAAATAGTTCATTAAATTTGTCAAAAATAAGTATATAATCATTTTCTACAACAAAATTGCTCAAA